ATCCATGTATAACTTCTGACTGCTCAAAAATTTAACTAGCCTACTGTTGAGCAGACAGGTTACCAATGACAAAAACAACTGACACATATTTTGTAATGTGTTATGTATTATATACTGTGCCCACATAAAAGCTGCAGTTTCAATGTGAGATAAAAAGGTATTTTGCAAAAAGTGCAAAGAATGCAGGTCTGCTAGTGTAGTGACAGCTTCAAGAAGCTCCTTTTCCACAATGGTCCTTACACTGGATTTATTTATCTTTAAATGCCAGGAACCACAGCTGCAGATCTCAATCTACATTGTCAAGCAATTCAACTTTTTCTTATAATGTGATAACTTTTCTCTGTTTCTTGGAAGCACCTCCAGCAACACTAATGGCATTTTGTATGGTTGTAAGGTGCTATTCAAGGTTTATGGTATTGTACTAGACAAAATGGAAAATATGGGAGAACCACAAGAGAACACTTTTTACTTTGTGACACAATTTAATGGAGAGATGAACTGCTCATGTGGAGATGGCTAGCGGTATTTAGAGTGTTTTAAAAAATCTGCATGTAAGTGGACCTGCACAGTTCAAATCTGTGTTGTTCAAAGGTCAACTGTGTAAGGAGTTCTGGCACATAGTAAGATCTACAGTAAATGTTAATGGGACCTGGTGGCAGTTACAGTGCTTGGCTGCTAACTGAAAGGTCAGTGGTTTGAATCCACCAGCCACTCCATGAGAGAAAGATGTAGCAGGCTACTGCTGTAATGATTTAGAGCCTTGGAAATCCTATGGGGGCAGTTCTACTTTGTCCTATAGAGTAACTGTAAGTTGAAATTGACTTAGTAGCAGTGGGTTTTTATAGTAAATGTTAGTTTCTATTATTATTATTTATTGTTGTTGTTGTTAAGTACTGTTGAGTTGGTTCTGACCCACAGTGACCCTGTATAGGATTTTCGAGTAATGGCTGGTGAGCTTGAACCATGAGGTTCAAAATAACTTTGCAATCCAGCACATTAACTCACAGCTCCACACTGTATTATTATTTGAGCCCTTGTATAGTGCTGTAAAGGAGCTCTGGTAGCGTAGTGTTTACAAATTAGGCTGCTAACCTCAAGGTCAGCAGTTTGAAACTACCAGCTGTTCCGTGGGAGAAAGATGAGGGTTTCTGCTCCCGTAAAGGTTTGCAGCCTCGGCAACCCTGTGCAGGGTCACTATGAGTCAGAACCGACTCTGTGGTACTTAACAACAATAGTGCTGTAGGATAAGCACTTGATATCAAGGTCAGTTTGAACCATAAGGTTTGTGGTTCAAATTCACTAGCCACTCCTCAGAAACTCTATACAGGGTTTCTATGAGTTGGAACCAACTCAATGGCACTTAA